GGAATTAAAATTTTCTCTCTTTAACTACAAAGATAGCTTTCTGTGGCCCATAGAACAACTGAAAATGCCTGAGTCTTGTGTACAAGACTACCCATGACCAGATTTTAGCCCTCTATCATTATACTGCTAGTATAGTATAATTGCAATATGTAAGCAAGGAAAATAATACAGGTCACATTTCCCACCTCATTTTATCTGCTAAACTAAATTGTCATTAAAAAAAAACAAAAACAAAAACAAACAAACAAACAAACAAACAAAAAAACTTCCGTATGCTGTAATGGTCACTTTTTTCTATTTTTTTACATAAGGTACTGAATGTAAGCTTCTAGGCAAACTTCGCATATCTTTGCCCTCTATATTTTTTAGAGCATCCATGTGCTTTAGGAGTGTTTTTTTTTTTTTCCAGTGATATTGAAGTAAATGCAATGGAATGTCAGATTTTTGGCAAGATTATACCTATTCTTGTTACAGGAACATCTAGATCACTTTAAAGGTCACCAGATGAGGAAATTTCACAGTCTTGGAAAGATAAATATTTGAGATTAACTAAGTTTCATAGAAAGGACAAATGAATGAGCTTCTAAGAGGTTATTTTATTTATATTATTCAGCATTTAATACAGATTATTCACTGAAATTTGAACAGGGTAGTGCTTACACTTACACCTACCAATTGTAATAACTCTTATGGAAATGAATTTGTTGATGCAGTCATGGAGACAATGTATCTATGACAAAACCTACATTTTTCAAAAGAATTGGAAACGTAGCTAGTAATCCAAAGTATACAACTGATCCCAGCCTGAGGACCATGAGTCCAAATATGCCATACTATTTCCCTTTTGATGAAAATACCCTCCAAACTAGCAAACTGCATTCTCATTAATTAAAGCTCAATTCCAGAGCATGCTTTTACTCCTTAATATTGTTTCCATTGAGAAAACCCTCAGCAACATCACTAAGAGTCCATCTCTTAAGATAGAAATGAACAGCCACAATTATTTCTGACATAATTCTTAAAAAGAGAGCAAGAAGTTTAATGTGTGCATTCCCCCAGAGAGAATCACTCTTGGGTGTCACAGCCATAAACCAAACTTCTACATTCTGTCTCTAAAGCAATAACTATGAAAGCTAAATGGTTTCCTTCAAATATTTTTAGACAATTGAATTTTTGAGTCACAAAGAGTTAATGGCTTGTTTAGATTTAATAATGGTACCACCAATATACAATCAATTTCTTTACTTAGTATTTGGCAGGTTTAGTGAAAGTGTCTTCATGACATCTCACAGTGGTTGGATTTCTAATCTGCCTCATAATAAAATGCTGTTGAAGTGAAGATAGGACACGACCGTGTCACAGAATGAACAGAAGCTTATCTGGAATACTCAAGGTGTACTTGCGAATTTGCACACATTTTTATCTCACTCTTCATTTGACAATGAGAGCACAGGCCCTCTCATCTGAGCAGAATTTAAATCAAGTTCTCCCATCCAAATATGTACTTTTCTTTTTGTCATTTGTGATCATCTTAGAAGAAAAGACAATGGAGATATTTAAGAATTTTAGGTTTAAACAAGTTAATAATCTAAAGATGGTACTAGGTTAGAAATGGGTAATGCAACAGTGAAAAGCTAGTTTTTTGGATGCTACAAAGTAACTGATGTACTCTGCTGTGAGGAGAAATTTTGTCATTTCTCTTGATTTATCATTTTAGGGGCCTTAATTAAAACTTAGTTACTTTGAGAAACTATTTTTCTCCTTTCATAAGATGAAAGATGGCCGGAGTGACAAAAATATTTTAAGTATACTGTTAAGAAAATATATGTGTCACATTTAAATTAATTCTATTTATTTTTATTTGCAATTAACACTTAGCTGTACATATTTATGGGCAATGATGCTATTTTTCTAGATGTATATAGTATTTAAAGTTCAAATCTGGTAATTAGGTACTCCTTTTAAAATTGTATGTTAAAAAATTTCTTCTCAAGGAAATTACTTTCAAGTAAGAAAGGACATTACAAATCACCATACTTTCTGTTGAATAATTGTCTATCCCTTGTTTTAATTTTTTAAAAGCTAATCTGTCCTAAAATAAGTTTAAACAGGTAAAGTTAGAATGCATTCTCACTGTGAGCAGGCAGAACAATTCCTCTGCTCTTGTTATACATTTCACATGAATAAGTTCTGGATATAAAATATTACATAATCAACTTGCATATAATGTTTTGGTTTTTCAGTTTCAAATTATTTTCCTGGAAGCAATTGCATACTCAGAAATGGCATATTTTTAAGTAATGGACAATTTATTCAAATTTTATGACAATATTAGTCAAATATTTTCCATCCCATTCACTTTATATCTTCCAGAGAAAAATGCAAAGCACTTCAGTATGTTAAGATCCCGGAAAGTTTGTCTAACCTGAATAGCCTATGCAGAGTGCCAGGCTAACGCCTTTCCTCTTAGCTGCTTTTGTTATCCACACTTACAGATACCTAAATATTCTTCTGCCTTTCATTTAAAGCCTTTCCTTTTGCTTTCCTATTTACACACCAGGCATCCAGCACCAGCACCCTGCCTTGTGATAGTCATTGTCACGGGTTTACTCTTGTGCTTTTTTGAAATACTTCTTATTCCTAAAGTACTGGACACATAAAAACTTACTGGAAGGAATATCAGAAGCCAATTGGCTGAACAATTTTGTATCCAAAGAGAATATATGGAGAACCTGAGAGATTCGGTGGTTTCTATAAAAGCACAAATATGATTAGTTCTACAGTTAGAACTCAAGAAATGTGTCTGATACAATATTAGAGTTTTCCTAAAACATGTTGTAAGGAAGAGATATGGGAGCAAACAGTTTATTTGGGTGACAGTCTCACGATGCATTATGAAAGTCTCTGTAAGTGTGAAGCAAGCTACTCCTTGGACATTTTCAGCTTGATATTTCTGGAGAATCTCTAATAGACTGTGGGAAAATACCTTGGAATGGTCTTGCCATGGGACAAGAATTCTGTGGGAATAATACATCAATTTCCACGCTTGGTTAAAACCACCTCTGACAGCACTGCTTCAACTTCCTATGCATCCTAAATGGACTGGGATGTTCCTGCAGCCAACTGAAGCCCTCAGAATGAATCCCTGATGAATACAAAACTTCACCATATCCAACTTTCAATATAGGTAAAGGGAAGTGGGAGGTAAAAAGATCCATGAGAGAAGAGTACAATCTCCACAGGGAAAGTAGTACAAGTAGATACCTAGCACCAGATCTAACTTTCCATCAAATGTTCAGCTAGAACCTATGAGTGTATAAATATTACTTAGTCCCAACGTCCAAGTGATAATTACAATCTTGCTGTTTTTATCCCTAATGATGTGCTGTGTGGAGTTAACATAGTTATAACTTTCCTTAAATGCTTGATCTTAAACTGCCCATGGACTGCCTTCAGAGTCTAATAGCAATGACGAGCTCTGTTGGCAAGTAAAATGCAAAACTTATTAAATAAGACTATAAAAATTCTGAATCATAGAAAAGTACTTTTTATCTGTGTGGAAGACATAAAATTAGATCTAACAAATTGGTATAAAAAGAGAATAAAGTTGAGCAAAATTCAGATTTGGGAAGTATGAGTTGAGGGACAGATATTCCCTTTCAAAGCCATAAATTTGACAAATACTGATCCTGATAAATACCACATAAAATAAAGCATATCCAGAGATATGTGAATATCCAATAAACTATGAATAATTTGGTAATTACATTGTAAAAATATTTTTCCTCAAATTCAAACTTAACTCAGCTTTCTGCATGTTTATTTGCTAAACACTGTGAAGATTGCAAAGATTTTTTTTTCTATGTACGTCCCTGTGGTCTGGGCAAAACCCCATTGCAACCATAATACTTAAAGCTAGTTTTAATGTTCTATAGGGTTTATTAGGATGAAATTTACTCAAGCTTGGTTCAGGAATATTCTTACAGAAATTTCAGTCACAGTGGTAAAAAAAATGTTTTCTTACAGCCATAGAACATAACTGTAAATTTATAAATAAATTTAAAATAAGATAGAAATATTAAAATTAAATGATATATTGTGTAGGAAAGTAATGTTACACATGCTCAATTTGTAAAAATCAAATGGCATGATCTAAATATCTGAATCAAAGGCAAAAGTAAAATATCTTAGTCATAATATATTTTTTAATTGAAAGAGAAAATGAAGAAAAATTGAAATAATATACAACAGAGTATCCAATCAGGCTAATAGGAGAGTAACAATAATTGTTAAGTTTTAAATTGTAGTGAATCCCTAAAGAAACTCTCTCTTAAGGAACCAAACTTTTACTAACTCCCATATTCTGTATTCTTCTCTCAGGAATAAGTTTGATTTGGGTTTTTTTTTTTTTGGGGGGGGGGCATGTTGAACTCATGATTTCGTGCTTGCCAGTTAGGTGCCATGCCACTGAGCTGTCCCCAGCCCCAAGTTTGATTTTTTAAAGCACAAAAAGCCTAGTTAAATGTACCTGAAAAGCATCTTAGTTTGTTTTCTGCTGCTATAAAAACCACATTCGATGACAGGCAATTTATAAAGAACAAATTTATTTCCTTGAGTTGGGAAGTCTAAAATCAAGATGCTAGTACATGAGAATCTTCTTATCCAGTTCTTCTCATATGGAAGAGTAAAAAAGATAGCCAGTGATGCCCTGAAGTCTAGAAGAGTCCTAACTTCCTTTATTGGAGGAGACCTCCTGAATTAAATAGCTCTTAAATTCCCCACCTCGTACTGCTATCATGTTGGTAACAAAAAATTTTAGATGGGAGATTCAAAGCACAGCAACAAAAGTTTAAAATGTACTAATTATTTTAACTCTTGCTGATTTCAAGCATTAAAGTTTTTTTTTTCATGTAAACCACAGATGACTGAGTTTATCTATTCATTTAATTTAGATACACACAATGAGTTTCTAGAATAGCACACAAGATAAATACACTAACCTTATGTTGTTGTACTTGGCGTTTTAGGTCTTCAAGGTCAGGTCCAAGGGGTTCTTCCTCCATTTTCTTTGTTCTCTCTTCAGTTTTTGTTAGCCAATCATTTAACTCTTTTAGTTTTTGATTCTGAAGATCCATTAGAACTTTATGTAAACTGAAAATTTGAAAGAAGTCTATTAATACTTCTAGTAAATCAATTTAATATTATAAAACCCACAATTTTGTAAAAGTAAATATTTATAACTTAAACCACATTTAAATCTTTTACATATGTTGAAATATGTAAATTAAGCACCAATCACCTCTGAAGTTATTTATTGGACATAGTATATATATATATATATATATATATATATATATAATTTTCCAACCTTCAGAAAATTTTACAAAGCTAACTAAATGGTAACATGGGTATCAAAGTGCAAAATATATTCAGTAACTGAATTCTTTTTTTTTTTCTCTCTCTGATACTGGGGATCAAACTCACGACCTCGTGCTTGCCAGGCAGGGGCTTATCCTACTGAGCTAAATCCCCGGATCTTCTTTTATTTTTTTTAACTCAATTCTTTATACCCCATTATTTAATATGTGTGATGATTAAAGGTGTCACATATCCTTTTTCATTTCTATTTCAATTTAAAGCAATTTGAACTGTTATACAGAGACATAGAATTATGCATATATATGAAGTGCCACATGATGAGTAAATAAATTTTGTACATTGTGCATTTTTTCAACTAGAATACATCAATTCAAGGTGGATAATTTGGTTCACATACTTAATTTGTTAGATAATTTTGGAAAAGATAACTTCATTTGTGTTTGTTGGGAAAGATACCCACAGTGCCTTGGTCATGTTTGTCCATGTTTGCCATCCCATATAGAGACTTCAAACAAAAATTGTAACTTTGTCAAATACTTCTGTTTGTGAATCAAATTGCTTTCAAACAAAAGCACTTGTGAAATAAGTCACCAATTTGTGTATGTATCTGTGAGTGTGTGTGTGTGTGTGTGTGTGTGTGCGCGCGCGCATATTCACCCTACTGTGCAACAGGGTGCCAGAATTTGTTGCTTTTTAGTGTCCAGTGACCAATCTTATTCCATCCTGTCTAAAACTTCCTTAACAGTCTTTTCACCAAGACATAAGTCTGTGCTTCATTTTCATGAATATGATCTGATCATGTGAATTGTGTTGACTAATATAATGTGGCAGAATTAGCCACATTAGGGATTGGTTTTGAGTTTAATCTGTAAGAGAACTGACAGCATTCAATTTCTTTCCTTTGGAGCCCAGACCCATGTAGCAATGGATCTAGGACAGAATACCAAAAGACTTTAAAGAATGACCTCACATTGTGAAATGATATCTTAGAGGTGAGCTTCCAGCTGAAAGTACTCCAAGGTATAATCTCACGTGTATCATTGAAAGCAGAGAAATATATTGTTGGAGCACTTCCTATATTCTTTATCCACAGGACCATGGTGAAATTATAAACATTTTTCTCAACCAACTGTGTTTTAAAGTTATTTGTTGTATAGAACTAGATAAGCCAAGGTGTGTGTTTCCAATACCAAAACAATTTATTTTGTAAAGTAGTTAAAATAGGGGCTGGAAGGTAGCTTAGCGGCATAAGCGCCTGCCTTGTAAGGAGGCAGTCATGAATTCGATTCCCAGTACCCATAAAAAAGAAAAAGACAAAAAAAGTAAAGTATTTAAAATACAAAAGACCCAAGGCCCAGCACTATAACATGATTTTTATTATGGAAAAAGGGTAGATCAAAATTTCAAAACAAGATGATAAGAGAAAAACAGTAGATAATACATTGCATATTTTTATCTTAAAAGTAGTTATTCAGATTAAATATAAGGGCATAAAAATTCTCCAGTTGATATTAGCACAAAACTTTCTTTACTATGAACTAAGAGACACAAATAGTATAGTTGACTTGCATTTTTTTCTCCCTTTTCCCTTTCTCCCTTTTTTTTCCTCATCCTAGTTTCTTTTTTCCTTATAGATAATTTCTTCTCATTTCACAATATCTACTGTACATTTTAGGACTTATTTCCTCTTACGTTTTCAATTTTTCACAGCAGAGAGACAATATGATGTTTACACATGTGAGTCTGATTTATTTCAGTTATGAGTATGGTCTCAAGTTGCATCCATTTACCTATAAAAGTCTCAAATCTATCATTATTTATGGTTGAGTTGCATTCCATTATACAAAAATATATCTTTTTTATCCATTACTCATTTCAGAGGCAATTGGGTTGTTTCCTAGATTTAGCTATTGCAAGTTGTGCTATTATGAACATGGGTGTACATATATCATTGTGGTGCAATGTTTTTAATCCTTCTCAGAAGAATCCCAGAAGAGGAACAGCTGGGTCAAATGAGACCTCTAATTCTAAATTTCTGAGGAACATCCATACTGATTTCCTTAGTGGTTGCAACAGTCTGTACTCTCATCAAAAGTAGAGAAGGGTTCTTTTCTCCCCACATCCTTACCAACAGTTGTTATTGGTTGATTTCCTGATGACAGCAATTCTTTCTGGAGTGATTTGAAATCTCAGTGTTGTTTTAATTTGCAACTCTCGAATAACCAATGTTGTTCAACATTGTTTAATATATTTACTAGTCAATTATTTATCCATCTGAGAAGTATATTCATCTCAGATACCCTTTTCTTTATTGGCTTTATATTCTCTTATAGTACATTTTGTAATTCTATTTTAGTTTTTAGATCTTCGAACCATTTTAACTTTACTTTAGTGCATGGTGATAGACATAGGTCTAGTTTTAGTCTTCAGCATATAGAGAGCAAGTTTTTTCCAGCACAATTTATAAAAGAGGTTATCTTTCTTCCAGTGAACATTTTTGGCTCCTTTTCCAAAAATAAGGTGGCTGAGTGTGTCTGCATCTTCTAATCTCTTCCACTTATTCTCAGATCTGTTTTGTTTCCAGTACCTTTGATGTATTATTTCAAGTCAGGATTTTTGATGTCTTCTGCTTTTGCTGCCTAGAATTGTTTTGGCCAGTCTAGATCTCTGCTGATTCCAAATGAATTTTAGGAATGTTTTCTGTAGACCTGTGAGGTATGCTAATGGTATTTGATTGGTATTTTGTTTAATCTGTGTAACAATTTTGTTAGTATGGCTACTTTCAGTATGTTGGTTTTTCCTAACTAAGAGTAAGTGATATCTTTCCATTTTCTGATATCCTCTTCAATATCCATTTTGAGTATTCTAATTTTCAATATATAGATCATGTAATCTGCAAATAATTATAACTTAACTTCCTTCTTTCCTATCCTTATTCCTTATATTTCTGTCTCTTGTCTAGTTGCTCTGGCTAATGTTTCCAGAAATATAATGGATGGGAGTTTTTATGGTAGACATCCTTGTTTTGTTCTTCATTTTAGAGTGAAATTTTTCAGTTTTTGTTCATTCAGTATGATGTTGGCTGTTGATTTTTCATAGATGGTTTTGATCAGATGGAGGTAAAGACAACCTATTCCAAATTTATATAGATTTATTTTTTTTTACCATGAAAAAGTGTTGGATTTTTTCCAAAACTTTTACTTCATGTCTTGAGATGATCATGTGATTTTTGTCTTTATCTATGTTGATATCGGGCATTAGATATATTGATTTGTGTGTGTTTAATCTATGCATTCCTGGGATAAATGTCACTTAATCACGCTGTATAATCTTCTTCATGGTTTGCTGCATTTTGTTTGCTAGTATTTTCTTGAGGATTTTTTCCATAGTTCATTAGAGAGATTCGCCTGTAGTTCTCCATTGTGGATGAGAGTTTCATTAATTTTATTATCAAAATATAGTTTCCTCCAGGAATGGGTTTAGGTAGTACTGTTTCCCTTTCAATTTCATTAAAGGGTTTGAGACACTAAATCTTGGCACTAAATCTTCTCTAAATTTTGTGCAGAATTCTTTACTGGTAAGCTTTTAATGATATTTTTAAATATATTTAACTGATACTGAGTTATTCAGAAATTTTGTATCTTCTATATTCAGCTTTGGAAGTTTACGCATATGCAGGAATCTGTCTATTTATCTGTGTCTTACATACAATGAGAATAAATATTTTCAATGTAGGTAGTGATGGTCTTCTGTATTTTTTATTGGATCTGAGGTGATTTCATTGTTATTCATTCCTCAGTGCCAAAATTTGAGTCTTTTCTTTATTTTTTAAAATAAGTTTGACTAAGGGTTTATCAAATTTTTATTTTTTCAAACAACCAAATATTTGATTTATTAATTCTCTGTACTGTTTTCTTAATCTCAATTACATTAATTTCTGCTCTGATACTTATAATATCCTCCCTTGTATGGGCTTTAGGCTTGAGTTACTCTTATTTTTCTAGAAGCTTGAGGTACAACATTAAGTTGTTTATTTGTGCCCATGCTGTTTTCCTGATGTGAGAATTCATCCCTATAAATTTCCTTCTTAGGACTGTTTTCATTACATCCCACAGATTCCAGTATGTTTTATCTACATTTTAATTTCAGATATTAATATTTTTCTTTAATTCCATCTTTGACCCATTGGTTGTTCAGGAGAGCATTGTTTAATTTCCATGTTTTTATGGAGTTTTAGCAGTTTTTTGCCATTAATTCCCAATTTAATAGCCTTATGGTCAGATAAAATGCATGGGATAATTTCAATTCCTTTGCACTCACTTAAGCATCTGTGGCCTAGTGTATGGTCTCTTTTAAAGGATATCCCATGTTGCAATGAGAAAAAAACTGTGTATTCTAATGTTGTTGGAACACTTCATAAACATCTACTAAGTCTATTTGTTCAAAGTCTTGATTCAGCTCTGATATTTCTGTGCTGAATTTTTTTAGATGATCTCTTTGTGACACTGAGTATTGTTATTGCTTATTTTATTTTTCATGTCTATTAACAATTGTCTTATATAGTTGGGTGCTGCCCTATTTGGTGCATATATATTTATGAATGTTATCTCTTCCTCTGGAACTTTTCCCCTAACAAGAATGACGTGACTTTCTTTATCTTTTTGATCATTCTTGGTTTGAATTTCATATTGTCTGCAAACAGAACAGCTACCCCTGCTTTTTTCAGCTTTCTGGTTGCAGGGAATATTGTTTTCCATTCTGACTTCCTTTTC